CCCCCCCCCCCCCCGGTCCATAGATCATAACGGCGCGTCGTATCGCACCTTGTGATGGACGATGAGTGTACACTGTCCACTGTGCCATAATGTTTAATGTATGCCAGGGTGTTAAATATCTCATTACATCATTAGCTAAAACGTTGAATTACAAACACTAGGGGACATAGGTTGCTTTAAAAATACTTCTCCGTTGTAAAAGCATACTAATATTATAGATACCAAATGTTTGGATGTACCGATGGATGGATTTTGCTACAATGTATGAAGAACGGCTGCAGAGATTCCGCTGAAATAATGCATCGATGTAAAACATAGATTGGGAGAACACGTAGACTACTAATTAAGTTTTGTTGATGTTTTGAAGTAATAAAATTAAGTCCAGTAGTCCGAGGAATGCTTTGTACTAGTCGTATGTGAACGAATATCTCCGCTGGATCGGTTTAATGGCGCACTATAATTCATTCTTACTGCGAGGACAACTAAATCGATTGGTAATCGAAATTGCTTTAATTAAATGGCAACGCGGCTGCATTTAGTGTCACAACGTTGTGTTTAACGGCAATTTCCATGACCTGGATTAAATGTCAGCCGCGTTATGTTCTCGCAATTACATGCAATACCTTTATGAATTTCACTCGATTTTATTGTCTTTAAACTGTTTTAGTCTTCACACACTTTTGACATTTAACAAAATTGTCTACATTACCAGGTCAGGTAAATTAATTTCTAGCTCAATGTCGACCCTGCTAGAATGCTTCATTTTATTTGTTTAATATTCGTTAATTGGTCGCATGAATTCTCTCATAATTACTTTTTAACGCTATCTTGTTCACAGTAAATAGCTATTAAGCTTAATAGACAACCCTCCTTTAAAGGACAAAGTGTGCAATTTTTAATCAAGAATAAGTAAAAACTAAAAATCATATGTGTATAGAACAAATATTTGTCTCAATAAGAAGCAGAGCGAGCACAGCACAGCACCAGACCGCACTTCGCACAAACATTGTTATAGTTACATGACAAATTAATTTCAACTTTTATAAATTTCAGTCCACATGTATCACCAGAAACAACAGATCCGTCTACTTCGGGCCTTCAAAAGACCATCTCGAAAAAGGCCGACATCATGAGGAAAACAGAGGAGGAGACAAAGGATGGGAGCGACCAAGAGGGCTCGGTCGCAGACTGGGTGACGGGCGGGCCCATCGGCTCCAAGGCGGCCGTGCTCGTGTTCAGGTCCTGCGTCCTCGCCTCCCGGACGCCCTCCATGGAGTCGGCGACCAAGAGCGTCGGGAACAACACGGGGAATAACATCCTCCTGAACAAAGCCAAAAATATGGCCAAAAGACTGGTGTCCGAGCCGCACTCTTTGAGCGTCAGACCAAAGAATATAATGCACGACGTGATGGAGACGTTCGGTACCGGCACAAAGATGAACGGGCAGGCTTACGTGGTGCGGCACGTGAGCGACAGCGAGCTGCCCGAGGCCGCGCCCGTCGAGGAGCAGGGCCACGAGCCGGCGCACCACCAGCGCGACATCGACGACGTGCTGCACGACCTCAGCAAGATCACGCTCAAGAAGCATCTCGATGTCGAGAACACCACCGCCAACATCAAGCCGCCAGAGGATCCGCCGCCCACAGGTGATATATTTTAACCATCATATTATATTATGTAAAGTTATTCATTATGCAAACCCTCCGCGGCTCGACTAAATTTACAATTGTGCATTTCAGAAAACAAAGACGATAAGAAAAACAAGAAAACTAAAGGAAAGAGCAAGCAAAAATTGCCACAAGTCAAACGTTGTGTCTCGCCACAAGACAGCCAAGATTCGGAAAATACGTTAGTTAAGGAAATAGACAGTGTAAAGGTACGGAGCGTGCTATGTATGTTCCAGGCGAAGAGGCGGCGTCGATACATGGCGGGTGTGTGCAGGTGCTGGAGAGCAGCAACATGCCGGCGCGCATCCTGCAGGCCACCTACAAGCTGGTGAACACGGAGACCAAGCTGCTGCACCGGCTGCTGCAGGCGCACGGTCTGCAGGAGGCGCCGCCGGACTCCAAGGACTTCAACCTGATGTGGGCCGGCCTGCACCCCAAGCCGGACGTGCTGCGGGCGCTCTCGCCCTACCAGAGGGTCAACCACTTCCCTCGGTCCGCCGCAACATTGATCCTTTATATTCTCTGTATTACTTTCATTACTTTAATAAGAGAGTTGTAGAGTACTGAGTTGTAATGTTTACCCGACTATCAGGTCGTACGAGCTGACGCGCAAGGACAAGCTGTTCAAGAACATCGAGAAGATGCAGTATTTCCGCGGCGTGAAGAACTTCGACTTCATCCCGACGACGTTCCTGATGCCCACCGAGTACAAGGAGCTGTGCACGGCGCACTACCGCACCAAGGGGCCCTGGATAGTGAAGCCCGCCGCCTCCAGTCGTGGCCGCGGCATCTACATCGTGAACACGGTGAGCGCGCACCCTGCCGCTTCCTACTTATCATATATTTAAGAGGTTTAAACGAAGCGGTATCTCCCCCTCGCCGCAGCCGGACCAGATCCCGAAGGGCGACAACGTGGTGGTGGCGAAGTACATCGACCGGCCGCTGCTGATCGGCGGGCACAAGTGCGACCTGCGGCTGTACGTGTGCGTCACCTCCGTGGACCCTCTGCTCGTGTACCTGTACGAGGAGGGCCTCGTGCGCTTCGCCACCGTCAAGTACGACAAGACCAACAAGAACCTGTGGAACCCCTGCATGCATCTCTGCAACTACAGCATCAACAAGTACCACACCGACTACATCAAGTGAGTGAGCTCGGTACACTGGGCACGTGGGAGTGTGCGTTGTGCGGTCGTGCAGTGGTGCTGTTGTGCAGGTGCGAGGACCCGGTGGCGGGTGACGTGGGGCACAAGTGGACGCTGTCGGCGCTGCTGCGCACGCTGCGCGCGCAGGGCCGCGACACGCGCGCGCTCATGGCCGCCGTCGAGGACCTCGTCGTCAAGTCCGTGCTCTGCTCCGCGCACACCATGGCCGCTGCCGCCAGGGTCTTCGTGCCCAACGTCTTCAACTGCTTCGGTCGGTCCTCCTCCCCACCCCGTCTCCCCCTCCGTCAACCTCGCCGGCTGCAGGCTCTAATTGTTGTTTTTTTCTAGAGCTCTTCGGCTACGATATCCTGGTAGATGAAAATTTAAAGCCGTGGTTGCTAGAAATAAATCTGTCACCCAGGTGCGTATCTCTCCTTCTTGATTATCAGAGTAAAAAATGTTGGGGTTATTTCGGTTAGAGATATGTTATATCTGTTACATTGATGTGCGAGCAGCCTGGCGTGCGAGAGTCCGCTGGACGCGCGCGTCAAGTCTGCGCTCCTGGCGGACACGCTGACGCTGGTGGGGCTGCCGGCCGTGCCGCCGCCCGGCCAGGACCTCGCCGGCCACACCAACTCGCTCCGGATGAGGATCGGCGCGGTCGGTCTCGCTGTCGCTGTCTCATATCTATCATATCATTTGTTAGCAACGGTGGCAGGTTCAACTATTGTTGTAACACAAACACAGTGCCGGCGCGTGCACTCCGCGGAGAACGTGTGCGTGCGGCGCGGCGGGGCGGGCGCGGGCGGCGCGGGGCTGGCGGGAGAGGAGCTGCGCATAGTGCGCGCCGTGCGGGCCCAGTACGTGCGCCGCGGCGGCTTCGTGCGCATCTTCCCCTCTCAGAACTCCTGGCAGAAATACGCCCAGTACCTGGGTAAGAATTTCAAACGGTCACGTATGGTGCGATGCGTGAGATCGGTCACTGAGTGCGGTGTCGCGTCGCCGGCAGATCCCGTGACCGGCATCCCGGTGTGCTCCACCTCGGTGAACAGCAACGCGCCGTACGCCGCCCTGCAGCACAACTACAACCTGCTGGTGCACGCGCACGTGTTGCCGCACTTCCGGCAGGCCGCCGCGCACACCGACCCCGACCTGGACACGGACACGCCGCAGCGGTGAGCGCCGCGCACCACAGCGCCCCACAGCGCCCCACCAGCCAGGGTACCGGGTCAGGGGCGGCTCTAAAGGCCGGCTCGTGTTGCAGGCTGCGGCGCTACGAGACGGTGGCGATAGCGGGCGCGGCGCCGGCCGTGCACCTGGCCGAGAGCGCGCCGCCGCCGCGGGACGCGCGCCGCGCCAAGGACCTCATCAAGCAGCAGCTGCTCGACGGACTCAAGCTCACGTCGGTATCTCCTCTCGGTATCTGTGTGTGCGCCACTGTGCGGCAGCGGCAGTGAGATTGTGTGCGCGTGCGCAGGGGCAGCGAGGGGCGGCGCGCGTTCGGGCTGTACCTGACGCACGTGCTGAAGCGCGTGTCGTGCGCGGGCGGGGAGCAGGCGGCGCAGCACGCGGCGCTGCTGCTGCGCTTCCTGCGCCGCGCCGCCGCCACGCTGCGCATGCCCTACAATGTAAAGGTGACATCGGTATAAGCATGCAGCTACTCGCCACATCGTGTACTCTACTCTACTCTACTCTACTCTACTCTACTCTACTGTACTGCATTTCACATTACATAGTTACGCTTTTAACTTTAACACTTTTCCTAAAGAGTGATGACACACCTCTTACCAACAAATTGCTTGCATGCATATATGTATATAAAATTATATCAGATTTTATTTAATTGATTGTGGATTTAATGCATGAAACATAACAAGACACTAACATTTTACTGTCGCAATACTGTACAAGTTGTTGTTATATTGTATTCAACTTATATTGGATTACTTTTAAATATTATTATAAATAAGTAGCAGGATGTAAGTAGATGAGGTGAGAGGTGTACGGTTACGTGTGGTGTGGTGCGCAGGGTCCGCCGGCGAAGATGTGCGACAAGGACAGGTGCGCGGTGGTGGCGAAGCAGCTGAGCGACTTCCTCTACCTGTACTGCCGCGACGCCGACCTGTGCGCCGACGCCGACCGCCGCGACGGCTGCGTCTCCAACATACACTTCGCGCAGTTCCTCTGCGGCGCCAGCGAGGCCGACCTCGAGGAGGTGCTGCTGCTCGTGCTGCGCCTCGAGAACCACGTCGCGCCCTTCCTTGGCGACGCGCGCAACCCCTACTGCGTCGACCTGCCGCCCGAGCGGCTGGCGGCGCGCGCCCAGCGCCACTCGCTGCTGCGTCTGCTGGCCGCGCTCGCGCCCATCACCACGCGCCGCTACTACAGGTGCGCCCCGCACGCACCCCGCACGCGCCCCGCACACACACCCCACACGCACACGCAACCCCTACTGCGTCGGCACACGACACGCACACACCCCACACGCAATCCGCACACGTCCCGCGCGCACCCTGCACACGCCCCGCACGCAATCCGCACACGTCCCGCGCGCACCCCGCATACGTCCCGCGCGCACCCCGCACACGCCCCAAACATGTCTATGTGTGTTTGGGGCGTGTGCCCTACACACACAAAAATCAATTCATCGCGTTTGATTTCAGGCCGATACCAGAAGGAGTCAGACGCGTGGAGGAAGAAGCGGAGTGCGAGACCCGCACCCCCTCCCCGCAGCGCCCCGCCTCGCCGCCC